CCCCAGGGCCCACTGAGGCCCCAGGGGCCCCAGATTAGTGAAGTGATGCTTTTTCCCACGTAAGGATCCCGAAATTCATCACTTCACTAAACCGAACCCAGGACGAAAGTCAGGGGCCGAATGGGGTCTTCCCAAGAACGTTCTGAGCCCAACCATCGTTGAAGTGGCACTCCCCGCGGTCGTCGATGTACCAGGCCTCCTCCCCAGGCGGATCGTCGTCGAAAGCGTCCTCCTCCATGGCCAGAGCCACGACCTCCGGCCGCGAAGTGCACTCGGAGCGGATGCGCAAGTCGCCCCCGTCGAAGTTGTGGACCACCTCCCGCAAGAACGCGCGAGCGCGCCCGAAATAAAACGACGCGAAGATCGGGACAAAATCGGATCGGGATAACTCGAAATCTCTGAGAATCGGCGGGTTTGGAGGATGTATTGGGCGCCATGGCCGCTCCAGAGCGTTCCGGAACGCTCTGAGAGCGCTCCGGAACGCTCTGGAGCGATTTATCCCGATCCTAGCTCTGTTTACGAAAGCCGAGCTTTCGCTTCTGGATCCAAGGCTCCCGCTCCACTTGCACCCACGCCTGCCTCCCACTGAAGAGGTACCCAATCAGCCCGAGCGCCTCGCGGATGCCCCCCTTGGACTATGTCAGCGACTCCGGGTTGCACTGGGAGGTGCATGGTGTCAGACTCCCCGCTCCCTTTATGAGCTTCATCTGGTCGATGGACATCCTGGCTTTGGTCGTCTGCGGCACCGTCTCGGAAAAAGTGTCAGTCTGTAGTAGATGTTCGGCTTCGGGTCGACCGATGCCCATCTGATGCCTGGTTTCCCAGGCCGCGAAACTCTTCAGGAACACGTGCGAGGCCACCCGAGTACTCCCTGTCCTTGCCGTCACCCCACTCGACGGCGATGCCTTCGTCTTGGCTTTCGAGTTCAAGGGGCCCGGGAGGTTGGAGTCATTCGCCATGCTCAAAGCCTACTCGCCTCCGACTCCTCGAATTTCTTCGCATGTCCCTCCACTTCGCCGCCGATCCTTTCGAGCTCCGATGTCACTGGTACAAGTTTGGCATCCAGGCGCTGATGAATGTGTCCGTTCATCTGAGCGAGAACAGCTCCTGGGGTCATGCTGCCGATCTGCGCCACTGCCGGAAGATGAGGTTCTGAGCAAAGCGCTCGGGAACTACTTCTGGGGAGTAGGCTGGAGAAGGAGCCTCGAACCCTTCTCGCTTCCCCCCCCTTGCTCTCGGGCCGGGCGAAAGGGGGGGATTGGGAAAGGGGGGGTACGAAATCTGCTGCATGCAGCTGGTTTCGGCCCCACCGAGGGGCCCGTTCCTCGATACATGGCCGCCTCCGGCGACGGGAGGCGCCGGGAAAATCAGCTACGTGAGTTGATTCTCACCCCCCCCCCTTTGCTATCCCCCCCTTTTGCCCGGCCCGATGCTCGCCGCCGATCCTGCTTCGTCTTCTTCTGTCGCGGCGCAGTCTATAGGAGCCGTGCGTGCCCGTGCCGTGGCGCCGTGGCCGTTCTCGGCCTTTGACCCCGTGCGCCGCCCTGCCCGACCCCGTGCGCGCCCCGAGCAGAGCAGCAGAAGCATGCCGCAGCGCCCGCGGTTGTCTGCGCGGCCCGACTCGGCCGGGCAGGGGGCCTAGAGGAGGAGGAGGAGGAGGAGGAGGAGGAGGAGGAGGAGGAGGAGGAGGAGGAGGAGGAGGTGGCTTCTCCCCCTTGGCGCGGTCCTGGCTCGGCTCTTCCCTCGCGGCACCTCCCCGAGCTTTTGCCGCGACGTGCAATGCCTCGATGAGACGGGGGGGGGGCCCGCCTCGCCGTCGGAACGAGGGGGGGGGGCAGGAGGAGGCGCAGCGCCTCCCCCCTCCGAGGAACGCCCCTCCCCGCCCCCGCCGCCCCCTGGTCGCTGCGCCCTGTGACCTGGGGGCTGCGCAGCCCCAGGCCATTGGGCGTCGCGCCGCGGGAGGGCGATGGACGCACGGGGGGGGGCCGCGAGGGCCGCAGAAGCCAGGGCCCTGGAGAGGACCCCCCCCCCCAGAGGGGCCTTTTTCGGGCGCACCTCCGGGGGGCCTCTCGGGCCCGAGGAGTGCACCTCGCTCCCCCCGCCACGGCGCGCCCCACTGAGCGACGCCCGAAGCTGCTACAAGCGATGCCCCTGGCGCATATATATATATATATATATATATATATATATATATATATCGCCCCCCGCCCCCCCTCACCCCCCCAGTGCGCGACGACGCCCGAAGCTCCAACAAGCGATGCTTCTGGCGTTGCTCGCCCCCCCCCCCCCAAGTAGGCGACGCCCGGAGCTCGGCGGCGCTTGCCGCGCCGCCGCCGCGCCCCGGGCCAGCGCCCCCAGCGCCGCCGAGGGCCTGGGCGCCTCTGGCCTTGGCCCCCCCCCCTCTCTCGGGGGTGGACAGGCCTCCTGCTGACACGTCGATTAGTGAATTGGCCGTTTTCGGTTCGCGAGAGGGCGTCGCGGCCGTCATTTTTGCGGGTCCGGGTCCGTCGGTTTCGGTCCCAGGCCGTTTTCACTAAAGGGAGTTTTACTAAAGGGAGGTTTGTCCACCGCCGACCCCCCCCCCTCGCGCGGGAGCGCCGCGGCGGGGGGTCGGTGCAGACGGGGGGTCAGCCAGTCGGTATCGTTTGACCGATCCCCGTCCCCATCCCCATCCCCTTCGAGACCCCCACCGAATTCCACCCCCAGTTGGGGAGACGCCCCTCGAAACCCGAAGGATGCGGCCTATATCCCCATCTAGGGGGGTTAAACCGGCCAGTGGGGCCCAGCCCACGCTGGTGGGGATGGGGATCGGTGAAACGATACTCAGCCAGAGCGCCAGATCTTGCCGGATCCTGCGGAGCCTGGGTCGTATTGACCCAGGCTTGCGTGCAGGGTGCCGCTGGATCTTTCTGGAATTTTCAGTTCGGGGGCTTTTCGAACTCGAACTTCTGGACTTCCCCCCGCCCGATCTCCATCGCGAACTTTCATATTTCTAAGGATGACCGTTTCTGCCACACTCAGTCGCTTACAAAGCCAGGGTCGTAACTTGACCCAGGCTTGCGTGTAGGGTCCTGCGGGATGCTCCAAGGCCTGACCGACCTGGGCTCGCACTGACCCAGTTCAGTGCGTCCCCAATGCGCCCGCCCCCTTCTTCGCCTCGCCTCCTTTCCCTATGCAGGCTCACTCCCTCTCTCCGCTTCTGTTCGTGAAGATCGTCTCGTGTGCATCAGATGCGTGTGAAATAAGTATGCTGCTTCAGCGGCTCACTGTGCTTCCAGTACTATCCCGAGCTTGCTAGCTCAATGAAGAGTAATGCTCTTATAATGTTCGTGCAGCGTTTTGTTCGTGTTGCTGCTTGGGCCTGCAGCCGGTGATCAAACCCCTGCGAGTGCCCCGATGCCGCCGCATGTCCTCTCTCTGGGCGATCTCAATACGGGTGGCATGATTTCAGAAACTTTTCCATGTTACGATAACTGCTGTGGACATTTCGGTCGAAGACATTCGACCTGAGACCGGTTCTACAGCGTGCTCCGATCAGATTGGCCGCGCCAAGTGCGATTCGTGACCCGCCGGAGTCGTGTATCATCGTCTTGCTGACGCACAAAGTGAAGTAGGCAAATTGGACGTGAGACGAGGTCGGCCTTCACGAGAACCCTTGAGTCCGCCCCATCCTGCGCCGAATACCGAAGACAGGTAATTTCCTGACTGGACGCGCTAGCGTATTCTCGCCCCTTGAGGCCTGTCGGCCCTGGATAGAAGCCTACACAACTGCGGACGCCATGCTCTGGTTGCGCTATGTCGCCCACTCCTGCTGCGAAGTGCTAGCAGGGTCGAATGTAGCGCCCTCTTCGTGTCACTCCTTCCTCCCCAATCCATTGTGATGGACATTCAAGTCTGGCGGTATGGAGCAATTCGCACGTGTTCCGCACAGGACGGCGTATATCATCGGATTCCGGCGCCCCGGCGCCACCGCCTGGCCCCGCGCAGGGCCGTCCCCCTGGGACGTTATAGGCGCAGCCTCGTTACCCGCCTCGTCCTCCCCCGCTCTCCCGTGATGCCGGGCTGCCCGCCCCCGGCTCCCCCAGCCCTCTCTTGCCCCCTGCTGTGCCTGCGAGCACGCATTGACTGCCATGCCGCCGCTGCACCACCACCCTGCCGCGCCTCTCCCCTCTGCCCCGTCTCGTCTCCCCCAGTCCTCCCTCGGCCCCCTCAAGCTTGCCTCTCCCCTCCCTCCTTCGCTCTCTCGACCCCTGTCCCTCTCAGTCCCTCCCTCTATCCTTCTTCCCCGCCTCCCCCTCCCTCTCCCTCCATCCCTCTCCCTCTATCCCTCTCTCTCTCTCTCGCTGTCTCTGCCTCTGCCTCTGCCTCTGTCTCTCTATCTCTCTATCTCGTTCTCTCTGTCACTTGTGCCTCTGTCCCTTTTCTCCGAGACCCCTCGAGATCCTTGTCGAGGTCTTCCGTAGGCACTTGGGCTTGTTTCGATCTCGTCCGAGGCCCTGAACTGAGAGAACCAGCTTGCACTGCGGACGCTGCATGGTGTCAGTCTGGGCAACGAGAACCCTCCCCCAGGAGCACCCAAAGCACTCCTTTCCTTGAGGATGCAGCTCCTTGGAGGTTGTATTCACCATCGGCGCCGGGATGTCCGTGGTGGACAACGGGTCCCACCAGGCCTAAACTCCCCTTCAATCTGGCGCAATCCCGTTTCATCCGGCTTACCCGGGTGGGCTTCATCTGGGCCGATCCGCCCAGATGCAGCGTTTTTTCTCGGGCTTCATGGCCCTGAGTCGTTCCTGCAGAGAGACCTCCCAGGAGTTGCTTCCTCACCTCCTCACGCCTCCGCGTGTTTCGCTCTCTCCGATCCTCCTGGTCATCGTCTTCTCTTCACATGCAATGAAAATGCTTCACCCCCCTCCCCGTCCCCCTTATTCTCTCCGCCTCTTCCTCCTCCTCCTCCTCCTCCTCCTCCCCCTCCTCCTCCTCGTCCTCCTCCTCCCCCGCAGAATAGCATCCAGAACTTGGACACCGCTGGCCGCGCCTCGCGCACGGCGCGCCCCCGCACCAGCCCAGGCCCGCCGCTGCCCTGCAGCAGACCCTTGGCAGCGGTCTCGCGCTGCTGCCGCCGCTGCTGCCCGGCACGGCACCGACATCGGCGCTGTGCAGCACCCTTCTATAAGAGCGTGGTAGGTAGGTTTGTTTGCCCCCTATTCTAGGCCTCCCAGATGTCGGGGGCGGCCAAGAGGGGGGGGATGACCAGGGGGGGATGGCGTGGGCCATGATCTTTCCCCAGATTTTACGGCGCCTCTTCTTGTTTCGTTACGTCCCCGCTCCCCACCCCCCCTGGGCCGCGCACATGCCGCCGGCCATGATTTTGGGCCCCCCCTCTTTGACGCCTCCCTCTTGGCCGCCCCCGAAGATGGGGTCGGAGTAGATGATGGGGTCGAAGCATCGCGCCGCATCGCCGATGCATCGGCGATGCGGCTCGATGTGGTGCCCGATTCTCTCCACGCCGACGGCGCCAATGCATCGCCGACATCGCCGGTGCAACGCCAATGCATCGCCGATGCATCGCCTCTGCGGCGCGATCCTTCGACCCCATCTACAGTAGGGGTCTTGAAGAAGGAACCCTTTTGGTTGGGGAGGGGCTCGATGTTCCTTGATTGTTTCGCAGCTTGCCTCAGGTTTTCCTTAGGTTTTCGACAGGAAGTCGAAGTTCAACTTCTGGAAAAAAAGGGGCCTCGTTCCTTATTTTGGGTTCCTAAGGTCAAGGCCCCTTCAATCTACTCCGACCCCATCTGGGAGGCCTCTGACGGTGTCGCCTCCCAGAGGAGATGCGGCGTTCCGCGGCGTGGGCCCCAGACGGTGGGCTCTTGCGCTCTCGGTGTGTAGGCATTGCATGGGTCGCAGTGTGTGTGTGTGTGTGGTTCGACCGATGGGATGCGTCATTCAGGAGGGAGAGAAACACACAGACACAATGAATCCTCGATTCCCCAGAACATATGGGAAACTATGGGAAGTGGGGGGGAGGACAGAAGCCCAGAAAATATGGGAAGATATGGGGGCTATTCTTATTTGTGTGTATTGAAATGTGTGTCCTGGGGCCCCTTCAATGGGGCGCAGTGTGTGTGGTTCGACCGATGGGATGCGTCATGCGGGGTGCAGGGTATGTGGTGCAAGCTGAGGGATGCAACCGATGACCTGCTGTCTGTGTGGTGTGCAAGCTGCTGCGTGGCGGGCTGTGGGGTGCAGGCCATCTGGTGCAATGTGTGGGTTGCAATCTATCCAGGGCCATCTACTGCCCCCTTTCGCTTCCTCCCTCTGTCCCTCTTCTTCGCCCTGGCCCGTACGCGCTCGGTGGAGTCCCCTACCCATCAGTTGGGAAGCTGGCAGTGTTTATCATCGGGGTCTTCTCGGAGGGGGGCTACGAAATTTGCTGCATGTAGCTGGTTGCGGCCTCGCCGCCGGGCCCATGCCTCGATAGGCCACCTCCGGCGCCGGGTGGCGCCGGGAAAATCAGCTACGTGAGCTGATTCTCAAACCCCCCCTTTTGCTATGCCCTCCTTTCGCCCAGCCCGACACGAGCTGCAGGTCCGCGGGATGCAGGGCGGTGCGAGCGACAGCCGGCGCACCATGGCGCCCACGGGGGCGGGCCCCGTGCCAGCTTGGGCTTCGGGGGCGCCCACGAAGCGGCCTCGGGAGGGCGCACGGCGAGAGTCCCTGGGAGCGCGCGCAGGCAGCAGCAAGCTGACCACCCCTGCAGAGGAGGGAAAGGTACCCATACCTCCACCCTTCCCTCGTTTTCCCCTCTTCGGGCTTCCTGGGAGGCCCTCGTCGCCACCGCTGGATTCGCCTCGACATCCTGGTCAGAACGCACCCTGGGAGAGGTCCGGGGAGCAGCGGTATCGGTACCTGTTGGTTTCCCCAATCATTACCCATCAGTCGGTGAAAGTAGTGATTTTTGGAGCCCCAGATTGCAATCGACTCTTCTGCGCCTTCCTGCTTCAAGGATCGAGTGGCTTCACCCTTTCCGTCCTCTTCAGGGGGCGGGCGGACACCGAATCTGCTTTCAACGCCATCCTACTTCATGGTTCTACCTACTCCTTCCGACCGATGGGTAGTGCAGGCACTGTCTGAGAAGCCACAGCGCGAAGACACCTGCCCACTGAGCTTGGCATCAGCCGCATCGTGAGTCAGAGGGTGGCAGGGCAAACCAGGAACACCGCACCAGCCGACCTGCAATATCAAGTTCATGATGTGAGTTGTGGCCTAAGGCAGCATAGACTGACCGGGGTTGTGTGGCTCCAGCGTGGAATTGCGTCAGTTCTTGAAATATACTGTTCGCGGTTGCCGGATACTCTTCTCGTCGTTGCGGCTGGTTTCGTTAATTCTCAAATGGCAGCAGGAGACGGGGATGATTTTAGGTTTCGTTGAGATGCAGCATGGCACCAATGACGTAAATCCTATAATCGATTCGATGTCTGCCCATCCGGAGCCGTGTCTACGTTGTGGTCCAGAGGCCTCTCCGATGCTTGCTGCGGTCGCTCGGGATGCCTCTCGTAGGCCTCCCGGGGGCCTCTTGCGGCCCTCCTGGGTCCTGGGGAGCTGCTCGGGGCGCTCGGCCTCGCGTCGGCGCGCGCAGCGTGAGGTCGAGTCTGCATCTGAGCGCGCCTGGGTTCGGCGTCACCCCAACATACCAGTACAGTGTGTGCGTCGCCCCCCCCCCCCCCGGGGGCGACGTGCGCACCGAGAAATCTTCTAGTATATCGGGGGCGCTCCCGAGTATATGCGCCGTGGCGGGCGCTTTCTGGCCACACCTCTCGGGAAACGCTGCACTGCAAGATGGGATGCTCTATATGTTCGGGTCGGACGCGCGCCTCCAAGGAGGACATGCAGTATTAGTATGCCTCTGTGCGTCCAATGGGTTGGGACCCCCCTCGCAATCGACCGCGGCCCACACGCGGCTCCACCACGCGACACGCGCCTTGGCTTCTCTCGAGGGCGGGAGGGGGGGGGGGCCGTCGACCTGGCGGCATGCCTTGCCTCCCCGGGGCCAGTCCTATTCGGCAGTTGTGAACAGCTTCGGATAAGAATCCTAAGTTGCGTGTCCTCTGAGGAGGAAAAGGAGGGGGAGGGGGAGGGAGAGGAGGGCAAGCTAGGTGCGCTCGCGTCATATCTGACGTCCTATCCCTCCCTCCCATCCCTTCCCACGGCGTAGATCTCCTCTCTCTTCGCACAGTCGGACGTCGTAGCAGGACATAGCATTACATGGCACAGCATGGTGTGGCGACGTGCCAACGTGGGGGGGGGCTTCTGCGGCCAAACAATCAACGAATCGGCATCGAATGAGTAATCAATTCCGCTCGTTGTTTCGGGGGACCTTTTCCTGGATTCTGGGGCCGATTTGGAAGGACCGAAAACCATGCCGTGGCATGGCGCTGGAAATAATGATGCCAGCGCTGCAGCGGGTGCACGATTCGGAACGAGCGGAAGCGCGGAAATGAGGCCAGCGTTGCAGCGGGAGCACGATTCGGAGGACGCGTAGCCTGACATAGCACAGCGTGGCGACGCCCCAAAGTGGTGGGGGGGGCTTCTGCGACCCCAAAGACCAACGAATCGACACCGAATGTGTAATCACTTCCGATGGTTTCTTCGGGGGGGCACTTTCTAGATTCTGGGGCCGATTTGGAAGGACCGGCAACCATACCGTGGCAAGGCGCTGGGAATAATGACGCCAGCGCTGCAGCGGGAGCACGATTCGGAAGGAGCGGAAGCGCGGAAATGATGCCAGCGTTGCAGCGGGAGCACGATTCGGAGGACGCGTAGCCTGACATAGCACAGCGTGGCGACGCCCCAAAGTGGTGGGGGGGGCTTCTGCGACCCCAAAGACCAACGAATCGACACCGAATGTGTAATCACTTCCGATGGTTTCTTCGGGGGGGCACTTTCTAGATTCTGGGGCCGATTTGGAAGGACCGGCAACCATACCGTGGCAAGGCGCTGCGAATAATGACGCCAGCGCTGCAGCGGGAGCACGATTCGGAAGGAGCGGAAGCGCGGAAATGAGGCCAGCGTTGCAGCGGGAGCACGATTCGGAGGACGCGTAGCCTGACATAGCACAGCGTGGCGACGCCCCAAAGTGGTGTGGGGGGGCTTCTGCGACCCCAAAGACCAACGAATCGACACCAAATGTGTAATCACTTCCGATGGTTTCTTCGGGTTGGCACTTTCTAGATTCTGGGGCCGATTTGGAAGGACCGGCAACCATACCGTGGCAAGGCGCTGGGAATAATGACGCCAGCGCTGCAGCGGGAGCACGATTCGGAAGGAGCGGAAGCGCGGAAATGAGGCCAGCGTTGCAGCGGGAGCACGAGTCGGAACAAGCGTTAGCCCAGAAATGAAGCCAGCGTTTCAGCCAGAGCAGCATTTTGAACAACAGCCGAAGCGGAAAACTGTTTCCAGGGAATCTTGTGTGTAAACAATCGAGAACGCAGAGGGGGGCCGGATATTTCCCGGACGTCACCAGGGGAGAGAGGAGAGTATATTTCATATTGCGTAACTGTGGAGGAGTAGGAGGAGGAGGTGGATCAGGTGGATCAGACAATGCGTCGACGACGCCTCGCATCCCGCGCGAGCGGGTGGAGGGTCCCCCCCTAGCATGCTCAGCAGGGCGCGCCCAAAGACGCCGAACTGCCGCCGCCCCCCAAGCGCATGTGGAGGCTGTTCCCAGAGTCGGCTCTGGGGAGAGGCCGCCCCCCCCCCCCAGATCCCCAGGACTAGCTCAGGACATCCTATCGTTTGTGCCCGAGATACCCCCGTCCTTGAACAGCACAACGATCGGGACCCACCCGTCGGCGACGCCGTCGCCGTACAGACGTTGCAATGCTCGCGGGGGCGCTCGGGGCCTTGCTGAGGATCTCTTTGAATTCAGCCCGATCGTCTCCGCCGTGACGGCCTTGCCGAAGAGCACCGGTTCACGGCCATGGTCGCCTTCAACTGGCGGGTCGCGATCTTCAAGGCGACTTTGATGCCGAAGAGCCCCCGTCTCCCAGCCGTGGTCGCCTTCGCCGCGG